TGGGGGAGGGAATCCAGTAAGGAGAGGACAGGCCACACTACAGCCCCCTCCAAACATCCTCCACAGGGGATGTGTCCAGGCCTGTCTTGGAGCAAACTTTTCATGGTGTGGCAGAGGAATTAAACCCTGCTTTCAACAGAAGAGGCAGCCTCACAAACCAACGGGTGCCTGTAAATAAAGTGTTCCTTTACGTTTATAAAGACCATTAATCCCATTCCAACTGGAAAGAAAGAAAACAAACCATAGCTGTGGCTTTCCAAAGCCCTCTGCCCCAGCCAAATGAAAATACCTGTGAAAAGAGCCCCTACCCCATTAACCCAGCCGCACACCACCAAGTGAACGGACACTATTATTTAAGTACTGTGTAATTGTCCCACATTGCTGATATCCTTAAGACTTCTCAGAATATGTCCACGAACCAGCTGAAGAAGAAAAAGTAGTTACCAGGGCAGGCAGGCACAAAGGGCCTTTTGCCAACCACTTAGATATTTTAATTCTCCGTTGCCTCAGTAGCTAAATAAGCAAGGAGAGCAGGCAAGAGAGGAATACTAATTAAAGCTAATTAGACCCTGCCCTCTTCTGCTTCAATCCCCTTTATGTAAAGCCCCCTAATTCAAGGATGAGTGAGCTAAAATGTAAATACCTAGGGTAAACAGCAGTCCACACACCAGGCCCCCTATGTGCATCTCACTGTCCCAGTCATTTCTAAACCTGTGTCTGATTACCTAAAGAGGGCCACAAACCCACAGGCAAATCCAAACAGCCCCATCACAGACCAAGGAAATGTGGGCTGGGGGAAGGGCTGCCAACAGGAGTCCACTAATATAGACTAAAGGACTCCCTTAGGACTTAGAGCATTGGAATTTGCAGGGCATCACGAAAAGAACATTTAAAAAATAGTAAACTATGATAGCAAACACAGCTCTGGTCCTACAGTAAGATCAATAGCACATTCCCCACTCCTTAGAGAGCAAGGGCCTCACCCCAGAGAAACCCTTCTTTGGTCCTGTGGAAAGACCAGTCCTAGGGTCCTGTCCAGAGGCTCTTGACCATGGGGTAATACTGAGAACAGAAGATAACCCTGGGGTGGGGGGTTGTCAGCCTGTCAGAGGCTTGTTTGAAATGAGCACCCTTACATTAAAAGTCTGTTTCCAGCTGGATTAAGCACAGAGATGAAAGTGTGGTGAAAGCAACGGACCGGCAACTTAGCTAATGGTCTAGGGACACCCAGGCAGGCATGGCCCTGCAGGTCATCTCTTTCTTTCACTAGATAAGGAAGGGTTTTCTTTCAAATCATGCTCCTAGTAGCAAGACAGAAACAAATTCTGGAGAAAGTATCTGCAGGGCTTCAAGAAAAAAAGAAAAGGGAAGGAAGAGAAAAGAAAAACTATTTTCAAACTATGTTTGATGTTGGCTCAGCACCACCAGGAAACTAGGAGAACTCACAGGGATGTGAGTCAGCCCCTTTGAACCTTGGGAAGCTGCAGGGCATAAGAGGGAGATGACCAGGTCTGGACGCCAGCGATGGACTTGCTCTGCCACCATTCTGCTGATCCACCAGGGCTGGCTGAGCTCTAAGGTAAGGGCAGAAGAAAAGGGAAACCTGAAGGAGTTGGAAATATACCACCATGGCTCAATGTTGTTGTTGTTTTTCACTTAATAAGTGTCAGGTAGGACAAAGGGCACTGGGCCTAAAAAGTCTTGAGTTCCACAGACAAGGTGGACGGGCAAGTCACTTCACCCTCTTGGGCCCACTCGAAAAATGAAGATCATGTATATGAACTTCAAAAAACAAACATGACACAAATGAAAAATTATATATTGAAATAATTCTTTGCAGCTGAAAATACGAGGTTTTATTAGAACCACAGAATGTCAAGCTGTAAGGGAACTTAGAAGTCATTTCCTTTAGCAATTCCTAATTTTTGGATTTCACAGGACATTACCAGAACAAAACAAAACAAACCAAAAAAAAAACAACAACAGGGAAATTTATATAGGATTGCCAGACATTTATTTTGTGAAAAAAAAAAACACAAAAAAACAACTACCCTCTGTTACCACTTTTAATCATTAAAACAAAATGAGTTTCCCACTAAAAATAAAAAAGAATTTCAAAATTAAAGGACAGTCCTTGTGAACAGGGGACTGGTTGGCAAAGATACACTCCTAGGTATGAGACAGGCTACATCTTTTTAGTTGCATTTTCCTGGGGACCCATGAAAACATCAGTGATGGGCACTGGTTGCCAGATGGGTGTTTGGAAACCACTGATCTATTCCAAGCTCTGCAGTGATTAGTGTCCCATAAAAGAAGCCTAGCTACAGTATTAAGTTTGAATTAGGGCCTGAATAAGTTTTTTGTTTGCCGAGACTCCCCCAGGGCTCTCAGACAGAAACCTCCACTGCCTTCGTGTAAATCAGACACCGTAGGGGAGACTGTCCTGCCCCCCTCCGCAGCCAGGCACTAGGCTCACAAGAGCAACTAAGTACTTCGGCCTTGAAAGTGAACGGAGCACGCCAACAGTTATTTCCGACGGGAAGAGAAAGTTTGGGGCTTCCTCCCCTGTCTCAAAGGCCCGGCACCCAACAGAGCATCCTTTGGCTTTCTAACTGCCACCCAGCCGTCTCCCAACTCCGAAAACTTAAAGCAGGTAACACACAGCAGCCAGCTCAGGGCAGTGTGGAGTGTATTAGCGCGCACACGCGCACACACGCGCGCACACGCGCGCACACACCCCACCA